TGTAAATCTTCCTCGTACGCTCCGTTCAATTCATACATCGCACCAGAATTAAACGACTCTCTCAGTACGTGGTTCGCCATCGGCAGTCGAATACGTTCGTAAGCGACGAGGGCTTCGGTGAGCGTATCTAGCGTTGCTTTAGGGTGCCCAAGGATGGAAGCGAGAACATATGCATCCTGACAACCGCGAAAGCTCAGTTAGCGATGCGTGCTGATAGATCCACGTTCAATGGTCGCTTGTACCTCGATGGCCTGTCCGGCACCCGCACCTTGGTGTGGACTCATTGCATGGGCCTGATACGCATGAAGATGAGTGAAGGATGATTTGATAGATAAAGTATCGTCATCGTACTGCATCACCTAGGAGAACGACCTTTCCCGCGACGCACATAGGGAGTGGACGAAGGTGATGGATGGCCCATCGTGTCGGCTCCTGGATTTGCTGCAAAAACAAATCCAGATGACGCTAAAAATGGCCCTGGATAGAAACTCACCTCTAATAATTCAGCGACTTCTGGTTCCCAGCCAGCGTAACAGTCAAGCAGCTCTTGTTTAGAACAATCTTCAACCCACGGGCCGCCGTAAGGTGTCCCTTCCTTCTCTAGCTGAGAGACAAATGCGACTACATTGACCACGCTCCCTCTAGAGATCGAATAGCTGACAACGTGCTAGAGGCGCATTGGGGATATGGTGACGAAACGTCGCACAGGGATGTGAAAGACCTGCCTTGCCTTTTCCACAGTACTGCATGGGCATAATTGAGTGTGGGCGCTCATCGCGAAGAAAGTGATACAAACCATCATAGGTGTCCCAATCGTCCGATGCTCACCATTAGCACCGACAAGGCGGCCTACCGAAATCAATCCTCTGTACGCGACTGTACCGGTCCATACAGGTTCAATCAGGTCCCGCAAGTCGGCCCCGCCTCGGTTTGCACTTTCTTCAAGCATCTGCCTACGGACTGTGGACTTGATTCCGTCGCAACCTACTAAGATGTCGCATATTGCTTCCGAGCCGTCGCCAAAGCAAAGGTTGATAGTACCACAAGGTTCTCGGACAGAGTAGGAGACTAGACGCTTGCCGAAGTGGGCCGTATCTTCCGGAAGGTGCCTTACAAAGACATCGAGAAATTGAGCCCTGTGGAAACGAATACATCCATCTATCGTGAGATCAGCTCTCCAGCTTGAGATGAACAGTGACGGTCTCAAGCCGTTGGGCGTACAGGGAAGCTCAAACAAGTAGAAGCGAGAGCCTTCTCTATCTTCATCAGACTTGCGAAAGTCAAAACCAACGCCTGGGGAGTCCAAGAACTCATCGGATGAATCTACGGGAAAGGTAAATTGCAAACCTAGAGAACCGTCTGGAGGAGCATGGGCGATCTCTGAGAACTCAGGTGCCAATCCGAGGGCGGAAAGAATCTCCTAGGTCCTCGCCCAGATCATAACCCCAGCTCCAATTTCCTTGAATTGTCCCGCCGCTTCGTACAAATCAATCTGGATATCTGAGAATTTGGAAAGTGCCAGTGCGAGGCAGAGCCCTGCAATGCCACCCCCACTTCACATTGTGAGTGCGGAATAGAACCAAAGACATAAAGTTTCTGCTATCAGATACATACCATATTGCCACTCGAAATTTTGGCTGGGTCATCGATGTTTGATATGTAGTCGCGTGTAATGGCATTTCCATGTTCTGTGAGTACCAACTTGCATTTGGCAAGTCCCTGAGAAGTTCATGCCAGTTAAGGGAGGTTCTGAGGCAAAATACCAGGATCCTTATCGTGCCACATAGTTCAGCTGTAACCTAATAGAGGTGTAGTGTAGCATGTCGTTGAGTGAATTGAGCCATCAGGCATGAGCTTGAGTTTCACTGGAGGTAGCTCTGCCATGGCAGGATATCTGTCATTCACCTGAACTCGGACTTGGGTCGCTTGTCTGATATTTGCTCAGACTCGAGATAGAACAACAGTAGTTTTCTAAACTAACGGTTCCAAACGCAGAACCGAGTGTGTAGCCCCAGTAACTGAAACACCACAAGCCACGTCATTTCAACTCAGACACAAACGGCAGGCCTTAGTGTACGATCGATCGACGGGAGGCATGATCAATTGCGGCTGTTCAGATCTGTATCTTCGTTTAAAACGTCTAGCTTTGGTCTAGCTCCCTTGAACCTCTTTGAAGCGAAGTTGCAATGAGTACTATGGTGAGGTACTTAGCAGGAACGTGCTTATCAAGTATTTTCAAACCAAACCTGAAAGCCTACGGCAGTGCAATGATATCCTAGATGCTACAGCAATATCGTCCAACTTATCGCTTGCCCGCGATGCCCATTCGCGAGCTGCGATTATGCTTTTTGGCCGCCTGCGCCAGCGGCATATATGCGAAGGGTTCCACGCCGCCCTTCTTGACATCACCTCCAGCTTTCTGTAATTTCAACATATCAAAACCTTTCATTGGGAATTGGCTGGAATACACAAGGACGCACCTTTGCCTTGAACTCATGTCCAAGCTTGATTTCCGTCCTCCGCTTACTTTTCTTGCCAAAAGAGGACGTATCTCCATCTGCCATTTCCACATCCTCATCCGCCTCCTCATGTTCCCGTCTCCGTTTCTTCGTATCCTTATTGAACTTAACACGCCCGTTAAGCCCTCGAGTAAACCCATCAGTAGACGTCAGACTCTCCCGATATGCATCGTCAGCGGTCTCAACGTCGGCCTGATCCTCGGAATTATCATCGTCAATGACCATTTTACCCGTGTCTTCATCAGCCTTGAAACGCGACGCGTCTTTACCAGGTTTGCGTCGCTTGCCGGCGCTTGCATCTATCGCCCTGATCAGCCAGGCTAAATCTTATCACTGGGAGGACCTACTAGTTAAACGAGTTGCAGCGCCCTGTAAAAGGTCCATAGGATCATCGTCATCCATGCGCAATCGAGCGCCAGAAGCAATTCCTTTCGACTTGAGTAAACGTCCTGTCCTATCTACCGGTGTCTCTTCGTCGCTATCGTCGAGTTCGCTTTCGCTGCCGTATAGTACATCTTCAAAGGCATCACCGCCAGTCGCGGGTTTGGGTGCAGGCTCCTGCAATGATGTATGTAAGGGTAGCGACTAGTAAGTGAACAAAGGCACATACTTCGTCTTCGTCCTCATTTTCGGCAGCCAGTGCCCTCTTCCTCTTTGCTCTATCCTTTCGTTTCTTGATGTTTAGCAAAACCTTTCGCGCCTCCTCCTCGGCCGCGCACGTATAAACGTCCTCCCAGCTAAATCGCCTGATCATGCGCTCGAAGATATGTCGTACCTTTGCCTTGAAGTGGTTCTTATGGTCATGAGACCACTTCAACAAGGCAGGCACCAGCTGCGACAAATGGGGACGCAGCAACTCCGCGGACATCGTATGGATAGCTAGCTTGACAAAACCAAGGACGGATTTCACAATCTCGCGGTTAGCTGATGTCACGAAGACAAGCAGGGTGGTAAAAATCTCCGTTTGCATCTGCGAAGAAATGGCATCTGCGCAACAGCATTGAAAACGTAATCTGCGCGGATAATGGCGCTAGGCTTACCTTTGAATTCAAAGACTAATCGTGAAATTGCTGTCACCGTCGCGCTAATCATGTGAGGGGTTGCACCGGCAAGTCCTCCAGCAACCATGGTCATGTACTCCTCCATCGTAGCAGTAGCTAGAATCACATCGTCAATCTCGGAGAGCCATCAATGGGACCTTCGAAACGAACCTTCTGGGCCATCATCCGCGTCCATCCCATCTACCATGCTTCGCTTGACCACACCGCCTTCAGCCATCTTCCTGCCCATCGCGACGATCAAGTCAAAGGCGGCATTTCTTGCCTTTTCCGACGGCTCCTTTGTACCAAGAACCGCCTCGGGGATGATCGACAGCAAGAGGTGCAAATGGGTTGAGGGTATCAAAGACATGAGGTGGGTAAGGAGGTGGAAGCGATCCTATGTTCAAGATCAATGCATTTAGTAGGTGCGGAATCGAGTTGAATGGAATCAGCCACTGACTTTCTTTGCTGCCGCTGCAAGTCCGTCAATGTTCTGCTCCAATCGTTGAATAACGGCATCAGCGTCAACAGTGGCCTTGTTGCTCTCAACAAGCTTTGAAAGAATCTTGTAACCTCGTTTCTGTACTCCGTTATCCTTACTTTCTAGGACATCACTTGCTAGACAGAGATTGAATAATGCAGTAGCGTCGACTGATGAGAGATGTGGAAGCACGAGAACCAGAAGATCCTGTGTAACAGCAGTGATATTCTCCACGTCCCTCGATCCGGTCGTTGACTTGGCCGCCTGAAGCTTGTTGAGGTTTTGCTTGAATAGATCAACAAGCTTGAGATAGGCTCTGGCAATTTCCTGCAAGATGAGATGCGTGAGCGGCGTTCCAGATACAGATGGTACACTAACCTGCTCTCCAGCAATTGAAGCCCACGCGCTCACGACGTCGCCCACCATGCCCTGATTGTCTCTCCCTATACTACTGAACAGGTTGAACAGAACAGCAAGCCAGCTCTCAGCCTGAGACTGCAGAAACATGACATTGCTTTGTGCAACCTCCGGCGGAATCGCGTCAGCCCGTATCGACTGCGGCAGCTTCGCAGTGTCTCCTGCAGCAAGCGCAACGTTGGATTCCACTAAAGTCTTCAGAGATTTGAGGACCGCTGGGCGAAGTTCCGGCTGATTGTAAAGTAGTTGTGATAACAATTGAGAAAACTCGAGTGTTAGCGCCTATGGATAGATGTCAATACAATACATATCTATGGGGAGGAATCATGAATATACCTGCTGCAAATCAGGCGTACCCCAGCAATAACCGGGAAGCCCCATCCAAATCTGTTCGACCAGGACACTCCACAACTTTGCCTCTGATAGTCGACCTTCTATCTCGGCCTTCTGCTGCAGGTCAAACATACGTTCAGTAAGAGGGACGAAGTAAGACAAAAAGTGTCCCAATGGCGATGGATGAGGTTGGGCTAACAAGGGCAGCAAGAAGGCGCGTGGCTCGCGTCCCCCTTGTCTACCATGTAAATTTATTAGAATAAATCAACTACCAGATATACCGTAGAAAAGTACCTGTCCACGGGTTCGAGGTTGAGTGGAAGGGCGCGAAGCATGACCTCTGGACCCAAAACACGCATAGCAGTGCTCAAAACAACATCCGCAGCCTCCTTGTGTTCGAAGTTCTTTTGTATCCGCAGGTCACCTACCTTCACAATTAAAGGCAAGAGAAGCAGTTCCGCGGCAGTTGGAGATGCACGAGACCCGCTGCGATATCTCAAATGGCTGATCAAAGAAGATACGACTGATAATAAATCTGTCACAGAGCGCGCGAAAGCGAGCGATTCAAACGCCTTAGATACCTGCACGATGATCCTAGCAATGACGGACTTGTGTTCTGACTGATCCTTCTCCTGGAGAGCAGTCACTATGAGGGAAGGTGTGAAACACTGAGCAACAGAATCCAACGCTTGCGCAACGGCCTTTCTCGTGGAAGCGTCCTCCGTTTCAAGAAATAGCCATAACGCTCTCCATACAGTGCCCACCTCAGATGCGCACGAGTCAGAGTCGGTTGCATGGTACGCAAGCATGGTGTTTCCGAGAACACCGGCCCACGCGGAAGAAAAAACAGAGTCGCCTCTGATAGGTGAAGACGAGAGCACGGCCTGAAGCACGTTTGACAGTTGTTCTTGGATGTTGGTCGCAGGATCTTCCACCGAGATCGCTACAAGTTCAGCGAGGATTGAGTACGCGGACTGCGCGAGATACGAATTTCCCAAACGGGGCAGACCAAGTAGTGCTGTTGTAATTGGCGGCAGTGACTGCACGAGATGCATCAGATACACTTAGAAAACACGAGACCCAGCATACTCACGGTGGGCGGTAGCGTGGATAAAACGGGCCGCAAGAATGCCAGGAGATGAATCGCGATGTCTGAGCCTTCCGCTTCTGCCTTCTTGCCTTTGAACTTAGACAATCCTCCGACAGTCACCTCGCCAAGAGCAGAATGGGCCCAATCCGCGACACGCTGAGCATACGGATGTCTCGAAAACGGAAGTGGAGGACTAGATAGGACGTCCTTAACGAGCTCTGCTGCTTTCTTTCGCACCTTCGGGCGAGGATCTAAGGTGAGCTGGAGAATGAAGACGAATGATTGACGTAGGCCTTGCGCCTCGAGCTGCGGACGTTCTAATGCCTGCAAGACAGTGGAGTACAAAGCCAGCTGCGATCGCAATGGTGGTGCATGCTGGGAAAGTGCAGGAAAGAGAGGGGAAGTTAGGGAAACCACAGTGTTCAAATGCGATCGAATCACTGGAGCTGGAACATGAGGCGCAACTAGGGCGAGCAAGTACAAGACGGCAGGCAGGATGTCACCTTCGCCAAGGGGTGGTCCAGTGGTGGGTGCGGCCTGCAACACGCCGTCAAGGGTCGTCAGGAGAGCAGCATAAAATGCAGTAGGAGAGGCTCGAGTGTGTTGTTCGCGGAAAGTGGCCTCCAGAGCATGAAGGAGAGTGGCAGGGGTTTTCTGATGCGCGAGAGATGAAGATGTATGCGGCCGTATTTTTGCGAGAGCTTGGTCCAGACCGTCCGCCATGCTGTGAGTCCGTCTCACCCGTCGTTGGTGGTGGAAAGAGAGGGAATGGGGTGAGAGCAAGCAGGGCGTGCAGCAGCCTCGGGGCGCATGCACGCCGCAGAAATTTCAGTAATGCATGATCGGCGCACGTGCGCACACATCCTCCAAAGTTGTGCCTCTGAGACACGTGGTAGGACGCGACTTTGCAGCCACTGTGACGCCGCGGCGGCTCAGGGAGCCCGAGCTTGACTCCTCCATGCATATTTAGCTTTCGTTTTCCATCTACCATTCAGCAGTTCTCCCAATTCATGCCTCAGGGCTCTCCGACACCGTGGTCCTACTTTCTCATCAGGTATGTTCTACCGATTCCCAGCACTGCAACGAACCAGCCGTCATCACCGTCTATGTTTTCCCAGATTGCTCTTTAAGTTTGTACTGAAGATATTCTACGGTACCATCGTCGTTGAGAATGCTCATCTAATACCGCAACGAGGGCAGCCATGGTAGCCATGCTCACAATCCGATTTCGTGCTAAGGCTGATGGGCTTGAGTCTAGTATCGTATGCGCCAATCATAGTAACTCACTGACGGATGCGCTGTAAGTGATGGCAGAAGGGTCACGACTACTATTCCTGATGCTCAACGACAGTCTACTTGTGACTGCCATTCCATTCAAGGTAGTGATGGAATTACGCCTAATTTCCAGATCGCTAATTTATTGCAGAGGCGGAATCTTTTACGACTAACGGCCAAATCGACTCAATTTGGGAGGAAGACACTCACTAGCTGGCTCATTGAATCAGCAGGAACTGTACCTATCAAACGTAGGAAGGATTATCCAGATGGTCAGGCTGATAATACGAATGTCATGTTGAAACTAATAGAGGTGCGTGAACATTCTCACACCTGGAGCCTTCCAGCGGTCACTGCAAATGGCTGTAGTATATAACAAAAGACTCACTGATATCATGAGATTACACGAGTGATCATACTGACATCCTACGTGTAGGCGCTGGAGTATGGAGATGCTGTATGTTTATTTCCAGAGGGGATGAGCAGGTATCACCCTACCATAGCGCCTCTGAAGACTGGAGGTCTGTCGTGGCTCTCGTCTGCAGCACGCTCCCAATATTGACATTCAATCCAGTCGCTCGACTTGTGTCGGATGTCCTCTCTAGGAATCGCCATAAGCCCGACTTCGAGGTGGCCGTATTGACGTGTTCCATTACATACATGTGAGTAGTACTCCGACACGCCACTCAGAATCCCAGGAGAATGAATCACATTGTGTACATAGGCATCGGCAGCACTTCCGTTCTGACGTTCTTGTAACATTCAATGCGCCCATGAAGTTTACTCCAAGGGTAACTCTCCTGAGCAAATCCATTTACTCATTATCTGACACATACTAGAATAACCCAGAGCTCCTCTTACCGGTAGAATACGACAACATTCGCGCTTTGACTGTACAAATGCATCAACAAATCAGCTCTGGGACGCTTGATGCGCCATCATGGAAATTGATACGCAACGCAAAACTTGCCGCGCGGATTTATGCCCCTCTCGGCACGACAATGAGCCTCGGCGATTACGTTCGCGTCGTGCGAACATTTTTGGAAGCTTTCAAACTTGCTGAGCAGCCGGTATCAGAGAGCGGGAGTGAGGGGGAGTTGGCCAATCGAGAAGGCGCATTGCGAGAAGACACCAAAATTCGCAGGCTGGGAAATGATCTCAAAGTACGATATTCTTTACTGTTCCGCCTGAGAGGTATTTACGCTGTTTGCGCCCAGGTATATCAAGACATGCTGGCACGTTGGGGCATCAAGGACGACCGAGTCCGCAAGCCGCTTCCTGCACACATAATTATCTACCGGATCTTCGTCCGGCTCGGGTGGGCTATCTTCCTCTTCACCATCTCGATTCCCGGCCTCCTTCTCTGGCTTCCAGTCTTTATCGCGACCTTCATCGCCGTCTCGCGATTTAAGCGCACTGGTCCTGTCTGGGACACCTGGGATGAGATCGCTCAGTACAAGCTTATCTACGGACTCGTGTCGGGGGTGTGCGTGTGGGGCATCTCTGTTCTACTCACGCTTCCCTTCGCGCCTATCACAGCATTGCTTGTCCCCGGCTTAATGTGGATGGCGTTACGCTGGATGGAGGATGCCATCTCCGCGTTCCGAGCGTTCGCGGCGCTGATGCGACTACTGCGCATGGGACAATCATGCTTCGCACAACTGCACGCGATGCGAAAAGGTCTGCATGAGCGAGTAACGGAGTTCGCTGTCAACACGCTTGGTCTACCGCCTGATCCCGAGCACTACTTTGCCGAAAGCGGGGGAAAGGAGAAAGGGAGAGTGAAAGGGAGGTGGGCAAGCAAGACGAAATATTTCTCTGTCCGCCGACGGAGGAAACGCGACTGGAACGAGACACTCAGATTATATGACCAAGTTGATTATCCAGAGGACGAATGATTTTAAGGAGAGGCAATGTGAAAAGGATATCTATTGTCTATACTAATCATATTTCGTGTGTACATGATATGAGCAGGATGGATGAAATTCCAGAGTCGGCTAAGTAAAGAGTACGAGAATAAGAACGCGGCGTGAATCATGCGAGCGAGAAGTCGGGACCATGAGAATAAGGTGCGAATAGAACAACAGAAGGAGTATGACGTCAAGGGCCCCTGTCCAACGTTACCCAGCAATGGGCCTGTACGCCCTGTTGCCAGCAGCCCAGTGGTGACCTCTGTTGGCCGAGATACCAGTCGTTATGATACCGACCGTCACCAAAATCCCAAAGACCCAAGAGAGTGTATTGAGGACATAGGCAAGGCCTAACAGCAGTCAGCCTACGGTAGTACAGCCCCAAACGAGTGCATACCTGGACGAGCCCTCTCGTACGACGGGAACCATGCTTCACGGTATAGATGCGTCACGACACCGAACGCCATGATTTGGAACATAACTATCAGAAGTGGTTGTAGTGAGTTCCGCGGTAAACATGCGAGCACATACCATGTAATGCGGTCAGGACAGCTACCGCCCTCCATATCCGCCTTCTCCTGGAGTGCGTGGTAACACCAAATAGGAGAGTGAGGCAGGCGACGGCGCCGAACCCAATACCCAACTCGGAGAAGTAGCCTGCGGTGCTCCAGACCATGCAGAACGCCTTGTTTTCCTTCTCACAGTTGTCCAGGGCTCGATTGGGGAAAACCCGGCATTTGTAGTCGGTGTACGCAAGCTTGCTGCCCTCTGGGAGACCCGGTATGGCAATCACTTGTCGGTCGCACCGCTGATTGAGGCCATACTGGACAGTGACCTTGGAGTGGAGCACTTCAGGGCTGTTGACGACGAGCCTTCATGCAATGAAGGCGTCAATACGCGAACTCTATGAGGACTGCACGTTGGCGAACCAGTCGGGACGGCGGACGGAAATGACGTTCTGTGGCAAGACCCGAATGTCAGCGGAACCTGCGCCGCTCGGATACAAAGTGATAGCTCACAAAGATTAATGTGAGGAGGACCGCGAAGAACGCGACAACGTAGGATGTTTTCCTCATCTTGGAGATAGAGAGGTGAGGAAGATGGGAGCCGAAGGCTGAAGTGGATTGGCAAGGGGTTCATACTTATATCCGCAGCGGAAGCAACTGAGACGTCAACGGACTCCATAATGGACTAGAGACGTTTGTGTTCAGCTGTCCTTGTCGATTAGGGGTTAAATCACCACGTTGTGGTTGCATCGCATATTAAACCGTGGAGCCGGAAGTTCGATTCCTCCCTGGGACAAACTTTTGTCTTTTCGCGCATTGATACTATCATCTATGTACGACTCGTACGAGGTGACACCGGTGACTCTTTGCTTGGTTTTTTTTTTTTTTTT